TGCCCTCGCAACCCCCACCCTCCCCATCACTGGTGATGCCCAAGTCCCTTTATACAATGGTGCAGCTCAGTGAATACAGCCAGCCCTCCGCACCTGGACTCCCAACTGCGGGTTGAAAACGATAGGGGCGTTTAGTTTTTAAAAATCTGCGTCTAAGTGGGCCATCTTGTTCAAGGGTCAGCTGTATGGGACATCTGGAGGACTGTGTCACTGCCTTAAGACACAATTTAGGACCTGCAAGAAGTATGAGTCCCTGAGGGTGGCGTGCTAGGTTCCTAGGTAGCACAACTGAGGTGAAGATGAGACCCTGGTCATAAGGCACAGAATATAAAGCTTGTCACCAGAGCAGCTAAATTATTATCTTACGTTCCTAAATTTCCTGCCTAGACATAGCAGTCTCCAGCGGTAGGGGTGGGAGAAGGGGAAGGGGCGGGATTCAGGTAATCCAGCCCAGCCCATTATGGGCAGGCGGTGGCTCGGGCAGGGCACTAGGTGGAGTGTGCGCCATCTGCCTCCGCCAGCTTCCTGACTCTAGTCACCCGGCAGGAAGTCCCCCTGAAGTGTGGAAGTCACCCTCTCCCACTCTGTCTGTCTGTGCAGCTGGGCTGGACATGCCCACTCTTGGCTTCAGGATTAAACATGGGACCTGGTCTAGCTGAGCATATGCCATTTCCCCACTCACTGTGCGCAAGTCAGGCACAAGGCATGGACCCAGGTTAGTCCAGTGAGGACGGGCCCTGGACTTTTTCCTATTGGAAAGTGTTGCTCTTTTCCCACTTAGGTTGCTACATGGTAGAATATAAGTTTTAGTGGCTACTTTTGTCATCTCCTGGGGAGAGACTACTGGAAAGTGGAGTCAGATAGAGACGAGCATCCAAGAGGTAGGGAGAGGGCCTAAAAACATGTTAGCACCTAGATGCAGCCATGCCTGCAGGTCCTGATACCTCTGGATGGTTCCCTTTTCTTCCCGAATCCAGTCTGAATTATGTTCCAGACACTTGCCAATGAAATAATCCTAAATAATACATTGACTAGAACCAACTAATGGACTCAAAAAATGGGGAAGGGAGCTTTCAAATCCTAGGTGGTCTCAGATCCAAGAAAAGCATGGGGAGTGTAGACATCTGCAGGGACCCGGGAACAGGAATGTGTAACTAAATAGGTTCTTGGAAGGAGGGCAGGGAAAGGCCTTGATGACTGAGTCGAAACTCTCTTCATGTCAGAAAAACTTTTGGTAAAGGTTGTAGTCAAGCACAGCTGCCCAATAAATATAACTGAGAAAAATGAGTTTACAGAGTGAAGGAAAGAGGAAAAGGATCCTGACATTGAAATGGAAAATGAAAATATAAAACAAGGCGGGGGAAATGGGAAGATGTTGGCCAAAGGGTACAAATTCCAGCTATAAGGTAAGTCCCGGGGATGTAATGTACAGCATGGAGACTATAGTTAACATCACTGCGTTATATACTTGAAACTTGCTAAGTGAGTAGATCCTAAATGTTTTTACCACACACCAAAAAAAATAATAATAATAACGGTGAAGTGATGTGTAGTGATGAATGCAGTAACTAACCCTATTTCGGTAATCATTTTGCAATATAAACATGTACCAAATCATCACGCTGTTCACCTTAAACTGCACGTTATATGTCAAGTATATCCCAGTAAAGCTGGGAGAGAAAAAGATAAAGCCACTCAAAAAATATGAAATAACAATATGTAAGATATAAGCAATAAACATTCAAATTGGTTGCAAACTTGAAAGCTTTCCAGAAATTTCATCTATAAGAAACATTTCAATTATAAATGGTGGGAGGGTCATAAAGATTCCTTTATGACTTTATTTGGCTTATAGCCAAACGCTGTTTTTTAATAAAAGGGACACTGAGCGTGACTTTAAAAGCGGTAAGCGTCAGCACCAACGTACAATCGAGGTGGCCCACTCGCAGAAGTCCTTAACGGTCTTGCGCACGTTTTCGTACGGGTCAGGACCGTCTTCCTTGAGCAACTCCTTCTCGACGGCCTTCTTCTCTTCATGCAGCGACTGGCCCAGACGCGGCCGAGGAGTCTTCTTGGAACTAAAGATAACGGGATATTACAAGATGAGCCACCTGTAATCGAAGCGGGTGTCAGACAGGGTCTTGGGGGAAAGGAGGTCATAGAACAAGTATTTCCAACAAGTGCTCTGGGTGCCGGGGGTGGGCTTCTCTCTAGTACACCCACACTCTTCAGTGCCTGCCAGTGACGCCATTTAATTGCACAAGTCAAATGCATGTCCCAAATCTGTTTATGTCAAGTATGCTTATTTCATTGCATTTACATTTTTAATTAAATATCACATGAGTTGGGAAAACAAGCGTGTGGTGCAAAAGAAGAGTTGTTGCTATGGAAATTAAGCTCAGAGCTTTGGAAAGATTTAGTGAAGGTGTCATTACTGCTGCGATTTATGAAAAAAAGATGACTTGGAAATCCAACCGGCAGACCCACACTCACAAAAAGGCTTTACGCTCAAAGACTAGAGTGTGAAGGCACAGTTGTGTTCCAGAGTAAAATAAGATGTCCTAAGGACTTAAGTGTCATCGTTTACAATTCCCTGTATTAACTTTGTTATCCAGCCAACTCCTGGTCCCAGTCATGTGAATAAGAGGGCTTCTGCCATAAATAATTGAGAGCGCCTCTGTGGCCACTTAGGCAGGCTGTGCTCAGTTTCCTCTTCTCCAGCAGCTCTCACAGTCATGTTGACACACCCATGTTTCCTCCACGGCGGGATAATTCACACCCATTAATCGAAAAACACTATTTAGAGCAGGACCGAAGGCCCCTTTCCCTCCTCCTCAGTCACTTAGTTACTTTTGCTTTTCTAAGCTATTCTAACGATGAGGAGCTTTGAGAGTGTTTCATCAGGTGACAGGAATGAGCGAGGGCTTTAGACCAATACTTACAGTACCGGGGGGTCCTGGGTGGGACGTTTTTTAAGCCGTTTTGTGGGTTCCTTCGGCTTTTCCTTGACGCCCTCACAATAAGCCCATTTGTCCTCCAGTTTCTTCTCAGGATCCAGCACTTCAAGCACCTTTTTTAAGAGCTACACACAGAAAACAGTTTTAGAGGGAAGAAAAATGTGCTGAGAATGGGGGCCCCTTGATTCTAAAACAGAGCAGGCCACCTTGCCCCTTTGCTTTTCCCATCCAGTCAGTCAACGCGTTCATTGGTTTCTGCGCAGGTCCTGGGCTGGGGGCTGGGTAAACTTCCATCACCTAGACATTAAGTAGGCTAACTGGACTGAAATTCATCTCCTCCAGGTGGAATGGTCTGCTCGGGTCCCCATCTGTCCCTCTGAGTACTTCTAAAGAATTTCTGTGGGTTTTGACTCTCCAGCATCTATTCTTCCCCCTACAAATGACAGTATCTAGATTTTTCTTTGGAGATCCACCTCTCCTTCCACTCTCAGTCCTCATGGTCTGAACTGGCCTGACTCCATTCTCTGCCTACAGGCAGGCCAATCCTGTCAGGACCTAAACCAGTGACTGGTTTGAACAGGCACATAACCCAAGTTGGACCCCTGGGAATGAAGCTATGGAATTTTGCTGAGCCCATGCAAACATAAATGTTCTTTATTCTGGGTAGAATTTAAATCTAGAGCTGCTGGTGGTCATCATGGCACCAAAAAAAGAGATCTGGCTTCAGAAAAAGCGAACACACCTAGTTGGGAGGTCAAACATGGAAATAAGGGCACAATCCCATGAGCCATCTGAGGGGATGTGAAAACAGGCCGTCATGACTCAGAAGCTCTGGCCTACAGGAGGCAGTGCAGGAAAGCCTCAGGTGGAAAATAATTGGTTAGAAATTCCACGTGTCCTTTCTATACACTTCTCTGCCACTGATCATTCATTCATTCATTCATTCATTATGTACGAACATTCACTGAGTGTCTACCATATGGGTATTGGTAGTACACAGTAAAAGACACAAGTCTCTGCCCTGTAGAGCTTTTATTCTAGTAAGGAGCCCAGCAGTAACAAGTGCTATGTTGAATAATAGATCATGGTAAGGAATAGAGCATGAGGGTGGAAGGGAAATGTTATTTTATACATTCTAAGTAGGAGACATTCCAGCAAAGATCTGAAGGACGTGAAGGAGTGAGCTGGGCAGACATGTGGGGCAAGTGTCCCAGACACAGGAACAGGGCTCTGAATTGGAAATGTTTGTGACGTACACAGGCAGAGCAGGCCGGGGGCCAGAGTGGCTGCAGCAGGTGAGAGCAGAGCAGTGGGCAGAGAGGTTGGAGGGGAAGCAGAAGAGGTGGGGTGGAGATCAGAACACACAGGGCCTTTGAGACAACGGCAAGGACTTGACTCTGAGTGAGAAGGGGCTGCTAGGGGGCCTTCTGAGCAACTGTCAGGCTCACTGTGTAGGGAAGAGACTGCAGGGGTGGGCTGGGGGCACTTCTAGTTCCCTGCCCAGTACCCATTCTGCTCTTTTTCTTTAACAATTTTGTTCTGTATTGTGTTCAGTGTTGCCATGCCAACCAAGGATCTCCATCTTCTAGAGGCCCCAGCATCTAGGAGCGGTCAGATGAGTGAGCTGTTTACTGGGAAAGCTATCACAGCTGACCCTTGAACAACGCGGGTAAGGGGTGCCGCCCCCTGCACTGTTGAAAATCCACATAGAACTTCTGACTCGATAGTTGGCCCTTAGCATCCGTAGATTCAACCAACTGCAGGTCAAAAACAGTATTTTAGATCCACGGCTGGGAATGTGAATACACTGTTTTCTATATGTAGTTGGTTGAACCTGCACAAGTGAAACCCGTAGTTAGGAAGGGCCTCCTGTATTTACTGAAAAATCCCTGGATAAGTGAACCTGGGCAGTTTGATTCTGTACAAGGGTCAACTGTATTTGCCTAATTAAAAGACAGCTGGCATGTGCCCTTTAATCTTTGCCCTTTCCCCCTTCTTGTTTGAACGGCTGCATGCCTGGAGCTGTGGAAGCCTTTTGGAGACACAAGGACTAGACACATGCTGAGGGTTATGGAGCTGAAAGTCGACAGATGCCTGGGGCCACGGTGGCATAAAGGAGCTGCTGCCCTACCCTGGCCTGACAATTTGGTGGATTTCCCTTGTGACTTTCAGATTCTTGTATGCCTTATACCCATCAGTTAGTAACTACTTATGGACACCTCCTAAGACCAGGTTTAAGTGACAGAAGTAGGACTGAACAATCCCCCTCCGATCCCCATTAGGTTCCTCCCCCCAAAAGTAACAGGCAAAGTAGACTGGGAGACCTTCGGGGGAAAAGCAGGCGAATGTTCCCAGGAGCTGGACCTTTCTAAGTTGTGCAGCCTCTAAGGAAGCACTGGGAAAGGCTGCTGAAAGGAGGCTGCGCCAACCCCCCTGAAAACTCACCCTGCGAAACCATTGCTCATTCTCTCCTCCTTAGAAACATGTCACCCCCTAGAGGGAGCGCCCCAGCTACCTAAGGAGAACTACTTTCTAGGCCTGTGAGGCCCCTCCCACCCCCAGGACAGGAGGTCACCTCTGGAGACACGCTTTTTTCCAGGTCTGGATAGCGAGCCAGGGGGTGCGGGGTCAGCTGGGCCTCGATGTCCTCCAGGAACGCCTTCCGGGCCAGCTGGGCCGGCGAGAGCTTGGAAAACAGGGTCGCCTCCTTGAACAGCTTGAGCTGATTCTTTGGAGCTTTGGGATAAGTCTGGGGATGCTCCGGAAGGCCCCGAGTGATCATATTATCACAAGGAGGGCAGCCATACCTGAAGTCATCCAGTCCATTTTTCACAAATACCCACCGTTTGGTATTCAGGAAATTGGGGTATGTGGGCCTGTCCTCGAGTTTAGTAAAACACTGCGAAGACACATTCTCTCTATACCTGAAAAACAACATGCCCGGTTATATGGACCACAAGGAGGGGTGGGGGCTTGTAAGGTTGTAAGGCGGCTTTTTTGAGGAGAGGTGGGGAGGGAGGGGCTCGCATGGAGAAGGGTGAGTTAGTCCTACTCCTAGTTCGTGGCGCATTATCGCTGGTCTGTGCAAGGCCCTTCTCCTGATTCCTTTATTCTACGTAACCCCACACCCCACTCCCACTGCCCTCCCCTGCATATGCGAAGCCACTCTAACGGATTTGTGATGCACCCTGTTGTTTATACACATCCTTATAATGTCAGTATTATCCTTTGTGTGCATGTATTGTTAATTTACATAAATGATACTATTCTGTTTTTTATTTGTTTACCAAGCACAATTTTATAAAGGCCCATCCATGTCACTGTGTGTAAGTCTAGTCCATTTTCATCAGCGGCTGCCACCACAGTTCATCTATCCATTCTCCTTGTGAAGGGCACTCACAGTGACGGTCCCTTCTAGGACGCCTTCCTATCCTTTAAAGGGACACAGTGCAGTGGGAAAAACCTGGATCCCAGTGACAACTTGCCCCTAACTAGCTGAATGACCTTGGCACTTCATTTAACCTCTGCGGGCCTTGGTTTCCCCCTCCCCCTAAACTTAGGGGGTCAAAGGTTGCAAACTGGCAGTTCATGGGCTTCCTTGGGCCTACAAACCTATCATTTGGCCCCCTTAGTGTTTTGATAAGAATCATAATAGCTAACATCTATTGAGAACTTTTTATATAACAGGCACTGTTTTAAGTGTTTACGTATATTAACTAATTTAAATCTTATAATGATCCTATGAAATAAGTACTAGTATTATTCTGATTTATAGATAAGGAAATTGAGGCACAAGGAAGTTAAAATAAAATTTAAAATAATAATAATTTTTAAAAAACGAAACACTTGTCAAAGGCCCCACAGCTAATAAGTGGGAGAGCTGAGATTTTAATCCAGGTCATGTGACTTTGAGAAAGATGCTTCCCCACTACACCAGAGCTTCGGACATATAAAAAACTTCCTGTAAATAATCTGGAACTAAATCAGGAGCTCTGGGAACACGGGGTCTACCTTTCCATGTAGCCAAAATTGGTATCATGGCTGCCGTCTTTGGACAAGTCCTATGCTCTCTTATTCCCAGTGTCCACCTCTCCCCACTGCCTTATACCCAGCCTGCCTCCCTCGGTTTCCTTAAGCACAGTCATACAACTGAAGCCTGGTAGAGTGCTAGAGCTGGCAGAAGCCCTGGAAGAAATCGAGTCCACCTCCTCAGTTTGCAATGAGGAAACTGAGTTCTGAGAGGTGAACAAAGTAATCCAGTCTAGAGGGAGGGCTTCACACGACCTCACGTTGCCTCTCATAGCTAATAAACTTAACCTTGTGCATTTCATTAAGTTCATGAAAAAAAATGTTCTTGACCCAGAAAATAAAACTCAAAACATATTATCTAAACATTTACTATTTTCACAGTCATGAGTATATGGTACATGGATATTTCCGCCTTTATTGGGCATTTGTCCTAAAGAAGTGAATACTTCGTGTTCACACCAAAACCTATACACAAATGTTCATGGCAACTTTATACATAATAGCCAAGAAATAGAAACAACGATGTAAATGTCCTTCCACAGGTAAATGGATACACAAATTGTGCTCCATCCATACCATGGGATACTTATTCAGCAATAAAAATGAACGAACTATTGATGCGCACTGCCTCTCGGGTGGATCTCAAGGGCTATACTGAGTGAAAAAGAGACAATCTCAAAAGGTCTTACATTATATTACCTTATTTATCTAACATTCTGAAAAGAATAGCAAAGAAATGGAAGCTAGTGGTTGCCAAGGGATGGTGGGGGTGGGGAAAGGAATGATGATTTAAAGGGGTAGCACATCTAAAGGGGTTCCCTTGAGGAAACAGTTTTGTATCTTGATGTATATACATGACAAAATTTTACAGAACTATACACACAAGAATGCAAGTGAAAGCCGGTCAAGTCCGAGTGCGGTTACAGCCGACGCAATACACTGCCAGCGCAGGTTCCTGCCCGGCCACGCGTTACAGTTACGCGCCATGGCACCGCTAGACCCGGGGGGGAGGGTGCCTGGGGCCTCTGCACTGCTTTTGCGGCTGCTTGTGAGTCTATACCTCAGAACAAAAAGGCTGACAAAATCTAAAATTTTGAAAATGGCCAAAAAAAAAGGGATTCCCAAAGAGCTCATAATTGCTAACATGTATATAAGTGGATACCACATACCAGTAACTGCTTCGCATGTACTGTGTCGATTAATCCTCACACCAACCCTATAAAACTGATGGTTCTTATCTCTCTATTTTACAGGTGAGAAAACTGAGCCCAGAAGGAGCAACCAACATGCCAAAGGTCACCTTGCCAGCAAGAGGAGCGCTGGCCTTCGGCTCCAGCCTGTCCTCGCCCGGGATATTTTTCCCATTGCTTTTCGGGGGGGCGAGGGGGGGCAGACAGACGGAGGTCAGAGAGACACCGATTGATCCTAGACTTCGGGACCTTTACCACCGCCACCCCCATCCTCCGAGAGAGCGGAGTTCCGTTCTCACGAGGAGCCCGAGGAGTCAGCAAAGGCAAAGAGCCTGCGGTCGGCCTGCGGCGGTGACCCCGGCTCGGAACGGCCGCCCCCGACGCGGGCCCAG